GTTGGAGACACTGAAAGATATGGCAGCGAACCGGCAGCAGTGGCGTTCTTGTTGTTGTTTCTCATCAGGTCAGAATGCTTGAAACGGTATGTATTCAGAGTTCGATTGCGTACTCTGTGTTGACCATAGTGGCTCATCTTCTCCCACCCTCAAAAGAGATCCAATCTCTGTCCACCTTAAATTTTACCACTAGCCTTGTATGGATTGCGAGTTTGGCAGCGATCAGCGAAGTTCGCTTCACTGTGTTTCGCTGTACGATGATGATGATTGAAGTCTCCAGCGACTACCACGATGTCCGTTGACTGAGCACTTTGGAATAGTTGGAAGAGGTCCTTGCTGAATTCATCCTTCATTTCTGGCGAACTGCAATCGGTCGGTGCATACGCAGATACGGTGAATAAGCACCAACGCTTCGTTCTGTATCTGTTAACCCATACCTAACCATCCAGACTTACAGCACAATTATTATTATTTCAACAAAACCAATTACAGAGAATTGGCAAATGTGCCACAACATATGAACAAAAAGAAATCTGAAGAATGTGTTCACAGGTTGTTTGAGCATGTTACTTCCCGGTTACCCTGGCCGAGAAAGGGGGATAACCTCGGGGTCCCCACCCAAAGCCTTTGGCTAGAAAGCCAGGCCTGCAAGACAACAGGACCGAACTCAGAGTCCACAGTCCATTGGAAGCTGGTGTCCAGTTCATCAAATCATACGTTTTTCCGTCGGGGTCAAAGGTCCACAGTGCCCAGTACACCTTGATATCTCATCGAGTCTGTGACCACTGCTACAACCAGGAAGGTGCTGGTGTTTGTGGTTTGAAATCAGGGTTTTTAGCCAACTCCCTTAGGTGAACTACCAACGGTTCACCAATCCGGTTATAGCTCCGGATGTCGGCTTTTCGTCCTCTCACTTCAGTGGGTAAACACCTCCCCCACGGGTAGGCAGTGAGTAGGGTTTCCTCAACAAAGACTATTTGAGACGCTTGGTCATATAGGAGCATTTCGCGAGGTGTAAGGGAATGATGACCAGTTACAATCCCAGACATCCACTCCAACCATACTGAGGCTTCCGGAGGCACAAAGTCGGCTGTTAACCGGGATCCAGTCGAGAAGTGAACGCTCGGCCTTGACTCTCAGCGCAATCTCAACACCAGCAACACCGCTAGCTTCGGATACCGAATCTCTTGATACACGGAGGGTGAAGAAGAGGATGGATGAGGATGAGGTTGGATCTAGCGAACGCACGAAGATGATTGCAGTAGGGTCTTGCATGCTTGTTTAGGAGACACAGCATGCATATAAATGGGAGGTTTCAATGGTTCTAGCTGAGGCAGCTTGTTAATCGATCTGGTAGAGTGTCCAGAAATCAAATGCGGCTAAGTGAAAAGGAGGTTTTGGTTTCAAAAATCTCATAATCTCTTAGTGGCTGGCCTCATTAGTTAAACACTGAGTGATATCCCATAGGTGGAGCAAACAGGGTGTATCTCCTAAGGTTTTGGAGTGAGAAGAAGAAGTTGAGAGTTGAGAAAGATGGTTTTCCAAATGGGTACCTAAGACTTTGGGGCTCGGCATAATTCGCGGTTGCCCACACCGACGAAAGAGTTTTTCTTTGGGAACCTTAACAGGAGCCTTAGACTCAAAAGTCTAGCCCACAAGGCAGTGGTGTGGGTGCGTGACTGAAGCACCCGTGTGAGAGCTGCAGACCCGTCACGCATGGCTTTTGAATTTCGGTTAAGTTTGTTGTTCACTGGTGCGTTGGTTGACGTTTCGCTTCTCGGGATCGGCCCTTAGCCTGATGCACCCAATGAGACAAGCGGAACGTGGACGGGACAGCACTTTATTGGTTGGGGGGGGGGTGCCCAGATTATGCGAACGGTAGCTGTCTAGTGAAGTGCGAAGACCTCCCACCGTCAGGAGGAAGCCCAAGATACCCCGCTCCTACGTCCATCTAGCGTTTTTTGACCGGTAAACTGCCCCTCGTGTTTTTTTGCTGTAGTGACCTCTTCAGGTGCTGGAATGGATAGTCAAGAGAAGTCAGGAGGTATCTAAGCAGCCGACCTTATGAGACTGATCTTCGTCTGACCTCTACCCGTTGACCTTTCAGGCATGATTGAATCTGCGTCTGTCAGGAGCCATCCTGTATAGCTCGCAGGGTCATGGAAGCACGCAAGCCATCACACCACGCCAAAGTGCAGCCTCGTCGTAATGGTACTACTGGATCATCCGGTGACTCGACACAAGATTTATTTTGCGCACCAAAATGCAAATTACTCGTTCGTCACTTCCAGGAGCCTGTGCCTACCTACTTCGGTTAATGATCAGCTGGGGATCGTCAGCGACGTTTTTGTATCGGATTTTGTATAACGCCTCGCAGTTTGGTTGGACAGGAGATTTCCTGAAGTTTTTAGATAGCCCGCTTCGCTTTCTCCGGTTTGAGTCATTTGTAGCGTAGGCATTAAATCAGTCTTTCTCCGGAAGCGGGAGTATACAACACCACAGAAATGTATTGTCAGTACACGGATTTGAAACTTTCCCGGCTTGTGCTGAAAATACTCATCGCTTAGAAGTGTTTTCTAACTACTCCTTGCGCGATTGTTTGCATTTGGTGAGAACAACATGTGAGCGAAGACCAGGTGCGCCAGTGATTATTAGTTTTTTAAGCTCTGCCCTCAAAACTATCATTTCGACACACCCTTTACGATAGCTCGGACACATTGAAAATTTACTTCGTGTTCGTGTATGTCAAGTACAGTTCAGAGAAAGCTCTCGGAGGCCACTCAAAGGCATGGTGAAGTGGATTGAAGAAGCTATCAGAGGCTATCTTGCCTCTAGGTTAATGTCGCCTTTAATGGTGGGGCTCCAAGAGTCTCGAATGTCTCTGATGGGAAGCCTGAATTACTTAACTTGTGATCGGGCTCACTGGTGGAACTGTTCGATCTTTTTGTTACTTCGCATCCTACCGACAACAAAAATAACAGCGCGACATTCAGTAGGTACAATCATAAAAGTGTATTTATCATTGTTCTCAGTGCTTAACCTTTTGTACTGTGAGGGTGGGATTACCGTCTGAAACCAAGCCACTTACATTATATATTATGCATTATATATATATATATAAACATTATACAATAGAATGGGAATGACTGGACAAAATCCCTCTAGAAGCGAGCGACTGACTTACCGATGATTGTCACTCATCAGATGTGCATCCGATAATCTCTCATCTAATCATTCCTATACTTGAACCTATTTTCAAAAATGTCGGGATCCAAATTTTTTGCCGTTGGTGCCATCTCACCCGTAAAACATGACATCTAGTCATCGCCCTGGTTCACGAAGGTACTGTTTAGAAATAGCATTGGGTCCTTAATGTTAATTATCATTCATCACGTCTTGCAATAGTATTTCCATTTGTTCTGTACGATGACTACAATTGAATTTTTTACATCAGTGCTCTTCGCACAGTCATGTTTACCGTCCCTCTGTATCTCATGTTTACTGTAGACGAGATACTAAGGAAACATCGGCAATACCGTCTAAGGAACCAGTGAATCGTGACCCTAATTTCATTTATTCTCGACCTCGTGTGACCACGGACGAACAGATTGAGGCGGCACGACAACGTTACTTCTTACGCAAAGCAGCTGGTATTGTCCCAGTGACAGTGGATTCGGACACAGAATAGTAAATTTCGGAGTGGTTGGTATGTACAGTAATTGATTGTAAATAAATATTTTATAATGCAAGATGCTTTTTCGATGTTTTAACAGGTTTTTGCATCGCTTATCTGAACTGTCATAAATGGTGAACAACCATAAACAGTTAGTATTCTGAACTTACATCTTTTGTTTCTTCTGGTGATCTTATTTTATTTCAGAATTCAGGCAAGTGGGTCATCTATTGATCGCATACTTCAAGGTCCATGAAATCCTTCCTGCTACAGCTAATGGTGACTGTTGAGACCCAACTTAATTGCATACAGATTGGCCGAAACCAATACGCTGCACATAAAGAACTATATTACGGAATTAATTTATGGTCACACCTTCAAATGCCCACAGTTAAAGCCTGAACTAAATTGATGGGCGTTAAATGAATATTAAAGTTATCCACATCTACAATCAATAACCTGCCGTAATGAGAACCCCTCTAGGTGCGTGTGTGTTTGTGTGTGTAGATTGGATTGGTAGATATAAGTAGTTGTTTATGTGTGGTTTACAAACAAAAATATAGTGGTGAGTTGATGGGAATTGGGACGTGTCACAAAAGAGTTAGGACTGAGTCAAGATTAACCATCATCTGTTTGGGGCACGGGGTCAGTCGAAAGGACCAAGGGGTCATGGAACTGGTCAGCTCCGGTCATGTGACTGAATTCACTCCGTGGCCATGGCAGTTGAAGTACTTTAACGAATCGTTTTTGGGGACAAAGCGATGGGTCAAATATAACTGCGTTAGCCAGATGAGGAAGTTATCGAAAGCGAGCTTGTTCGATATTTCGCGTTTTTTCTCAAATGTTACTATGGGAATCTTCAATGAAATACCTAGACTTCACACAGGGCTTTCTGGTTAACCTCCTGTGTTACTAGTGATATTTCCACGCATACTAACCTCGTTGCCAACCGCCCTTTTCTTTGAAAAAATATGTAGGCTTATTCTTTTGAAGGAACATATCGCGGGAAATGTGCTAGTTTAACTTGTCAGTTGTCGGTTGCGTGTGGCCCGTGCTTGAATGGTGACCATTCCTGTTCCATTATATTTGTGTATAGCATGGTGCCAACGCAGTCACAAGAACAACAAAACGAATGGGTTGGGATACAAAACAGTGAGTTTCGGGGTCAAACATTTGTAGTGGGTAACAGGAATAACATTTCTTTCACCGTGCATCTTTTGGCATTTTTTTCTGTTGGTTTATTATTTTTCTTTATGGAGCACGGGATTTCAACAAAAAGACCGCGCAGTATTCACGCCACTTAGTTCTGTTTCGGACCATATCTCTTACCAGCGATAGTCCTCATCCTTTGGGCCTCATTCTGGAATGCGGAGAGCACCAACCGAAGCCGAAACTTAAGCTAGGTTCCTCATACCTCTACGCAATGTCATGGTCTGACTGCTTCAGTGCTTCTTCCAGCATGTGCAAATAAAACAAAAGTTAAGCAATAGCCAGACGTGCACAAAACGTGGCTGAGCAATCGGAGGCCGTGTGGAGCGATTATTTCCTTTAGACAACGACTTTCCACACCCAACGCACGACGACGAACCTCCACATTGCTCACCCGATTTTCCCACTAGACACTAGCAATGCTTCGGAGACATCGGTGGTTGGATACGGAAACTCGATTGGTATCCTCAACTCGGTGGGGGCAGTTCTCGTAACCGTAGAGCAAAACACCAAGAACCGCGGCTATGTATACCATTCACCTAAGGGTCCATTAGATGTCATCGCGGCACCATTGGTGTGGTAGGTTGGCAAAAGTAACTCTAGCTTTCGCTATTCGTGATGTGATCTCGTCATTAACATCACCACCAGCTGCGATCAAGCTCCCAATGTTCTTACAGCTTTGAACTATTTCCAGCTGATCACCTTAGAGGGTAAGTGCAGGTACAGGCTCCTGCCAGTCTTGAGCAAGTTCTTTGCATTTGGATGGTGGAAGGCACATACTATACTTTTATACCTCGATCGTCAGACGGTTCAAAGCCTGTTGGACTGCCCGTGTATTGTCACTCAACAAGTCAAGAACTCTGTTCCCCGAGAGGAGTTTGACTCCACCGTTTGCTAAACCGGATAATACATTATGAAGAACATCTTCGGTACATTTGGAGAGGAATGAGGATATAGGACAGCCTTGTCACTCCACTGGAGACTTCAAAGGACGGCGAAAGCACGTCGTAGTTCCTAACCCCACCTGAAATATGACGATACAACTCTTTGAGGATCGACACGCTTCTCAGGTTCTGTTCAGTTTTCCCAATGGATGCCTGAGGTACATGCACCTCAACAAAGAGTTCCGTAATACGGTACTATCGACAGATTCAAAAGCCGCACGAATGTCTAAGAACACAGTGATCGTTGGTTCTTGCTGAGTATGACGGTACTCAATAGCTGCAGGAGAGTGGGGACTTGATCAATGCATCCACGACCAGCGCGAAACCCAGTCCACTCCTCGCGAGTCTGCTCCTCACACACATTGTAAAATCGGCGGAGAAGAACGGACGCCAACAGCTTTGACGCTCTTGGTATCAGGCTTATACCCCTATAATTGATGCAGTCACTGCGCGTTCCCCCTTATGAATATCGAAACAACTATCTTCTCTCCCCACGAGAAGGGGGCCTGCTCAGTGTGCCTAACTTTAGGGAACCAATTCTCTAACAAAGTTTATTCCACAATCGTCCAATATTGGGAGGGCCATCGAAGCACTTCACTTTGTGACGTCCCAAAACATGAATATCCTTGCGGATTTCCTCCCCTGAAGGTGAATTTACTGAAACAGCCCATGGGACGTGTTCCGCAATAGCTGTATGAGAAGATAACGTCTGTAACCAGCTAAACTGTGCTGCGAAGTGCTCTGCCCAGCGTGTAAGACGTTACTGTTGATTATAAATCAGCAAGTCGTCAGCTTCACAGATAGTTTCGCTCACACCCGGAGCTTTCCTACTGGTGAGCCGGATGAAGTGGAACAGCTCACGGAAATTTCCCATTGCGGCAGCACGTTTCATGTCTGATGCGCGTTGAGTCTACTGGGTTCCTGCTTCTCTTCCCAGGCTCGCGCTGAGGTTGTCTCGCAACGCGTCGTATTTCATCATGCTCTATGCCGGTCGGGATTCATCGGCGTGCGTCAAGAAGGCGTAAAAGTTCTGCGGAAATCCAGTTTGCCCCGGCACAGCGTGTCAGACCACAACTGACTAAGCAGGCGGAATGCATAACATTTTTGATAGGGGCCCAGAGCTGATCTATGTTGTCATGTGGGTTTGGTTCTAGCTTTTCAGCTAGGGCGTTTTGAAAATAATTAGGCGAGCTGGTTTGGACATCTTATCATATTCTAACCGCTTCTGTGTCGTGTGTTTATAATACCCACCGAAGCACATGGACAACTTGGCGTAAACTAATGCGTGATCGGATTCGAGAGGAGTGCTCCGGCTATTTCGTATGTAGCCTCTCTCTTTGTGACTTATGGCAATGTGGTCGGTCTGCGTTCGTCGCTGACTCGAGGAGGGCGAACGTCAAATGGTGTACCAGAAGTTGGATCGACTGAAGTTCGTACTGGCGAGGATTAGGCGGGGATCGAAACAAAGCCAACAGTGGTTCCCTTTTCCCGAGTGACAGGAATGCAGTCCGAAAGAACCTCCCAGATATCCCTCACTCGAAGTCAGTCGACCTAATTTAGCATTCATATCTTCTGTTAAACTCACGATACAAGCCCGTTTTGCTTTACGCAAGTGGTCGTGTAGTTTTTGATATAATTCATTTGTGGCTGCATCTGGGCTGCAGTTCGTTGGGGCGTTTGCCAACATGACAAACAGGTTTCGTCTATCGGGGCGACGGTTGCCTACTTTGCATGAACCTCTGTCTCATTGCGCTCAACCTATCGTCTACTAGGATGCACTCTAGAATCGTGGCTTCAGCTCTCTCACTGAGGATCACACCAGCACCAGAAAGACCGGAAGCCGCAGCCTCAGGGTCCCCAGAGATGCGTAAGTGAAACTTCGCAGATTGGTTTGATGGGAGCGTCAATCGGATAATGGATGTAGAATCTTGAATGCGTGTATCTTGGATACTACACACATCGATGGTTAGGGTCTCGAGCGTAGGAGCTAAACAGGCCTGTTGTCGCAGACGCATCGGAGTTTGAATGGGTATCGAGGACGGATATGGGTTTCATCTGGTGGGCGATTCAGTGGAATTGGGATGGTAGCTGAAGTGGGACACCAGAGGACAATGTCAGAATTTCCATTTAGGGCACTACTGTTAGTATGCTCTTGTGAAGAACCTGATAGAGATGGAGACGGGTAAAGGTGAAATGTGGGAAGGCTGGGGAACATGTGAATGTGTATGATATCGAATGTTATTCGTTCAGTGAGGAAGAGTTGGAGTACAGAGTCATAGGAACAGGAAAGTTCGTGGTTGTTTGCGTTGTGGGATGTTGTCCTACTCGGTCGTCCGGTCCATAGTGGGTCTTGTTCAAGAGTGCACTCTAGTCTTTGCGCAACAAAATGCGAATTGTAAGGCAGCAATGTTCCAGATGAGCCGGAGGCCAGTTTCTGATTCATTCTACTCTTATGGAAAACCTTGTCAAACAGTGGATCTCAACAAGGGGCTATGGCCATATTTGGTGGTGGGCTACACTCCTCGCGTCACAGCGCTATCAACAGATGTGTGGTGCTTTGTGCGGAGAACCCGTACCAGGAGGTAAACTCGCCACGTACTCGAGCGCTGACACTAATCGTCCGCAACCGCTTAATCGGGAAGGGGCGAGGCTAAACCCACCTTATTCATGGTTGGCCGCCGATAGACGGCCGTTCCCTTGTCCGCGATCTGGCGACGCGCTTGGTGGCATACGGCTGTGCTCTTCCGAGCTTTCCCAGTTTGCCCTACTGTAGCTTGTGTTATCTGCTAATGCTTTAATTTCTAACGTTCTTCAAAGATTTACTTTTGCAGCGGAGGTTGTCTTCGATTCCCACAACCCATGTCGAACTTTCGCTTTAATATCATGTCACATCCTTTTGGTGTACCCATTCCTCTTCCTGAAGGCTGGTTATATAATTATCTATTCTTTGAAAGGGTTTTAAAAACTATGTTTGTACTTTTTATCACATCTACATTTACAACCGACGAGTTGTGATATTAGCAGAGAATAAAAATAGTGGAAGTGCCGCAAGTAGAACATGTTTTTTTGACCAAGCAGTACCCTAACTGTGATTCATATATGGACACCATCTCGTACTCATGAACTTCTTCGTTCATCGAGAAGTTGAGCTTTAGCTGAATAACCATGGGAACGATAGCGAAAGGCGATGAGCACTCATCATTGCCAGTAGGGGCGCTACTGTCTAAACGTGCAAACGTCCTGTGTGCAGCCAATATCGAAATCGAAATGCTGGCTACTTTTTGCAAAGATAAACAATGTTCGAGCGTCATGAAGGTGGTTCCGTGACGTCTCCGCGTGTAGTCTGACTACGATCTCAGTTTTTAGTCGCAAAAGTTTCATTGTAAGCCCCTGGGGATGCGTGCCATCCATTCCCTTTGGTTCTGTTTGGATGGTTTCTGTTAATCAATTTGACGATTATGTCATAGGGTTTGTCAGTTTCAGTTTATACAACCATTTACCATTCACTTTCGTGCCCTGTTTTCGGTTACTGTCTCATGACTGGCCATTTATATGAAGGATTAAAGGAAAGATTAAAGTATTCCAATCAGTGTCAGAGTGAAAATAACGAGATCTTGGAGACAACGGTTCTTTTGAGTCAATCCGCATGAAGAACACTGTATTGCATTTCCCTCGACCCTCTAAATATGGATTTCTGAATAATAAAAATTCTTCAGACTACCACTTATATTATTCCTCTCCCAAATAGACTCCAGAAAATGGATTGAATGATGGATGGGCCGAAGACATTCGATGGCAGTAAAAAATTAAAAATTGATCACATGCGACAATTAGAATGGTTAATTTGCCGATGCTTCTCTCGGTATCAGATTCACACGGTCGTTGGAAAGAAAATCGACGGGAAAAATGCAGGTTGAGTCTGGATACCCACAGACAACAGTTGGTAATCTCGTTCAGATTCTCAGCAAGCTGTTCCGGTGAACCGCAACTTTGTGCACTGTATACGTATTCCACGGAGACATATGGTTAAACCTCAAGTTAGGCAAACCGTGGCGTATTCTTTTCACTTGTTCCCCTCTTGTAAGTTGTAGCCATTCGAGATGCGCTGGGCTTTTTGTAGTTCTTTGCGATAAATCTGATCTAACGCGTCCATGATATGCCCCGAGTGCGGCCTTTTCCGAGCGCTTCGTGTCCAACATTGTTCCATCAACTCCCAGCATTCTTTTGTGAATATCTTCAATCGTTCTGGTCGAACACCTAATGATGATAAGATTAGGATGTGTTTGTCTCTTTTATTCAACTAACTCGAAGATTTACCTTTTCTCACAGCATGCCAAAGACCGTCTTTATCACCGCATTGCTCAAAATTGCGCGGCATCTGAACCTTGCCGGCACATATATACCAAAACAGAATTCCAAAGGCATAAATATCCACCGAATAGTCGTAGGTCTGTTCAAATATCTCAGGTGCCATGTGCATTGGAGTGCCTGTATCGGGGATCGAATTTTCGTACACCATCTGACTTACCGAGAATACTTCCGCCCATCATGGCGTACGGTTTACAAAATCCCAAATCGGTCAGTTTGGCTCGGTCGTGCGAGTCCAGTAACACATTTCTTGGTTTGATGTCTCGATGAACTAGCCCCTGACTGTGCAAAAAGCGCATTCCCTCGGCCACATCACGGGCCACAACGAGACGTCGAAGCCACGGTAAATTTTGCTTAATGGCTGTGTGCAGATCACGAACCAATCGCTCCATGATTACCAAAACTGCCGGCTGAGTACCATGGCCGTGGTCGTAATCAATCACGCTGTCATACATCGTGACAATCCGTTCATGCTCGGGTATTTGCCTGGAGGAGCCAAAGAAATAACATTAAAGAACATGATCAATGAAAGTTGCATTGTAATTGGATTACTCGTGCATTTGTGCTTACATTCTAGTTATGAGTGTTCACTGTTAGGGGATATCGAAATGGTATGAATAAAGTAAAAATCGAGCAAACAGGGTTGCCTATTCGGTTAGATTTGTAATAAACTGTCAGAATATGACGTCATACGGTCTGGAAATAACATGGCATGGTACCGTATCGTCAGTAAAGATGACAATATTTTGCGGATAAGACTCGGGGTAAGTCAGTGGTATTTACGGACAAAGTTGAAGACATAGCAGTTTAAAGCACTTCCGAGTTATTGATGAATAAGTTTGACAACTATCCATGTGCTTTGATTCTTTGCACTATTCTTAATATATAGTCTTTTAATGACTACCGTAACAGTACAATATTGTCAGTAGATAGGATCCTTCGAAAGGGGAAGTATTTGAAACAGGAACTGCAAGTAGAATAATTGTTAAATAAGACCTAGTTTATAGGAGACATATAACGATTTCTAAGTGCGCATGATCAAAGAACAAACATCCGAAACCCGTCTGTTCCATTCGTATAAAATATAGACGGTGATATAGAAAGCACCATGGACTAAATGGATGATTATCTACACTCATGCTACCACAGTCAATTAAAGGGATAATAAAATCTCCAGGGTATTTGTTGTATTTCGAATTCATAACCCGTCATTGAATCCACACAAAAGTCAGCTTCTTCAGTGGCAGTCTTCGAATTTGAACACAATCTACGAGTTGCTACCTCAACAGTAAAAACTGGTCAATCAACCCATGCATCAGGTGGTGAAGAAATATCAAACAGCGACCAAGTAGATCGTGGTTTCAAATAGAGTAAAAACTACAACGCTAAAACTCTTCTGACTTGAGAGAACACCTGAGTGCATTGCAAGTTTTCTCCCGGGACCTATCATGCTCGGCACGCGTTTCACAATCTATGGACGAGACGAGACCAAAGCCACTCTCCGCTTAGTGTACATACCTGTCTGAATGTCACAGTAAACAAATTTGTGGTATTCGGGAATCTATGTCTAGTTTGATATCAAAACGGCATCCATTATTCCAATACTAGTCGGCTTTAAGTTGTCCCGTTTATTTCGAGTTTTAATACCCTTTGGAAATGAAAAGGGCACAAAACCACCTTTTACTGAACAATATTGCTCTACTTTGGTGGGGCCACGGGTAGCTTGTAGAATTGCTACTCAGTATTTGAAAGTGCTTTGGTTGAATTACTTGATTAACAGTGGAGAGGAGTAAGTTGACTGCGTCTAAGAAAGGTGTTCCTCCCACGCGGCTCGGGGTTTATTTGATCCATCAAACTCACCGGCTGTAATAGATTTCTAAAGCCAGATCTTTCCAATGTTTTTCATCCGGGGGCACTACAGATTTGACCGCCAAATGCGTATACCCACCCCATTGGGAAGAGGCATAGACAACTCCGTATTGTCCTCTACCCAATTCTTTTCCTAATACTGGCAATCCGAATTGCAGGTAGGATCGAAGTGCGGACGTGTCCAGCGCGACACGGGACAGTCGAGGTGCGTGTTGTTTCAGTATGTTTTCCTGAGCCTCTTCGAATCGACAGTTTCGAATTTCCGTGCGTACTTCCAAACGTCGCAGAGTCTGAGATGCAAGATAGCAATGTGGGAGAACACTCAAACGCTGCATGGAATTTCATATTAGGGTTCATCTTCGGAAACATCGAAAAACTTCCCTTAAGAACAATAAAAAAATAAAGGTCTTTTTACTTCCTTTTTATTTATTGAATATACAAATGTACTGTCAACTTTCAGGAAGGGGGTTGCGGCCAGACAAAGGCTTCCTGGGAAATACAAAGATAGGAATAGACCGTTATTCGGCCAAATATGTCGTTGAGAAAAGTATGCTGCTGTGCTACTTTTTAACACAATTCCAGTGTCTGTGTATTCCGATAAAGTCATCTCTACTCAGGATCAAAGCACAGCACGGAGTGCAGTTTCACCGAAGGCGGGGTTAACGACGGTCGTTCTGTTCAATTTGATTAAACTTGTACTTATGACCGAAATTAGTATTTGTTACCAGGGCCTCATGATACCCATGATTTGGTGACCAAAATAGTAAATCATGTGGAAATGCGGACTATCAGTGAATTGTCTGGCGTCAAAGCGAATTCGCTTCTGTGGGTAAGACAAATCAGACACGAAGGCATAAACCATGTAAGCAATCTACCGCGAATGTACGGTGAATTATGGTGGAATTTGTCACCGTGTTACTGATCATAATCAAAGAATGACATAATGGTTTATTTGAGACCCAGAAATCTATTTATCGGTGCTGTTTGCTCCTCTTCTTATTCAACACTGAAACTCTAGACTTCACACTACCAATTGTGACTCAAAGCGGTAGGTTATTTTTGAAGTGGTGAGCTTGAATTAGAACCACATTTCCGGTCGCTACCGTAAAATTGTCATTGACGGCAATTGTGTCAAACTCCGTAGGTTTTTCACTTCACATTTGAATAATTGAAAAATATGCTACTGGATTAGCTCCAATATAATAATACTGGGTCACACGCTTCCTAAAGCTTTTAACGGTAATTGGCTGCAGTGCTACCGAATCTCTTAGGACCAAAAGCATGATTGTTTGCAGACGACGTCAAAATCTGGAAGAAAGTAATAGAAATTGGGGGTTCGCTGGAACTCCAAGAAACACTGAATGTAGCTCACAAATGGTCTATTGAGAACGACATCCAATTTACCGTCTCCAAATGCAAGGTGATTTCGTCACGCCACCATGAGCGGTTTCCTTATTTCCTCGGAAACGGACTACTGCCTCATGCATCAACAGAGAAGGACTTGGGTGTTATAGTCCACGAAGACCTAAACTGTTCTGGTAACTGCGCCAGGGCATCATCAACCGCACT